TGAGCTTAAGCAATTCTCTTGCCTCAGCCTCCCAAGTAGCTGGGACTATAGGCACCCGCCACAGTGCCTGGCTACTTTTTTGTTGGAGTTGTCATTGTTGTTTTAGCTGGCCAGGCCAGATTTGAACCTGCCAGCCTTGGTGTCTGTGGCCGGCGCCTACCTACTGAGCTATAGGCACCGCCCCTTTTCTGTGTTTAGATACATAGTTACTTACCATTGTGTTACAGTCACCCACGGTATTGAGTACACTGTAGCAGGTGTATAGGTGTGTACCTGGGAACAATACAGGTGTGCAATAGATTGTACTTCTGTGTTAATGTATTCTGTAATGCTGATACAAAGATGAATCTCCTAATAACACATTGCTCAGAACGTGCGCCACTGCCCACCCCCAAGCAACATGTGACTCTAATCCCAGAGAAAACCAAGTCTTCTGTACTCCTCAGGTGCCTTCTAAGCAAGCTCAAGTGAAAGTAGTATGAACATATTACCATTCTGCTCCCAGAAACAATAGCCTTTAACTTGAGCATGAATCTATTTGATGCAAGAGTAATGATGTTCAAACCGTAGCAGAAGGTAGAGTAGTTTTCATTGTAATAAAGCTTTATGAGTCAGGGTGAAGGTTGGGAATGTCTCCAGTATAGCTGGAAAACAGCTCAGAGATGAAGTCCCTTATTCTTTGTCATACGTCTGGGCTCTGCCAGCAAGTGATGTGGGACTTCAAGCCCGGTGGACTTTAGAGCCATTGTAGTGTAAAAATAACATCATGCCATCTCTCCAGGGAAACACCAGTTCTTCCTACTGGTATTGGAAAAGAAAGGACACCCTTTGGGAATGTCTTTCCCAAAGGTAAGGTTGATAATGGACTGCGTTTCAGAGCCACAAAATGGGAAGGTGGTAGGATTTGTTGGGCTAAGGCTGAGTAGGGACCTGAGGCCGAGGGCGGATTACCAGCCTTTGAGGACAGTATGGGCAGTATGAAGGCTGCTCTTTAGAAAGATCACCTTGAAGATAGGAAGAGCAGGAATGTTGTTCTCAGGCAAGTGGTGGAATCGGGAGAATGGTAGTATTTAGTTCACCAGAGTCCTGTGTTATCTCAGGGCCAGAGGTGAGAGGCGCCGGAATGTTCTTATGGTCCAAAGGGAAGCCCTGGTTTGCCCTGCCTCCTACACCCGAGTCTCACAACCTCTGCAGCTCCCTGGAGTGGGGAGGCCCAAGGAGTGTTGCCCAGTGCTTTTATCTAGTGTGACCCCCAGGTCAGCAGGTAAGTGTAGCTAGGGGTCTGCCACCTCTCATCCTGTCATTTGCTCAGTTGTGAAAAAGAAATTATTGTTTAGAGAAAAGCAAAGTATTTTTCCACAACCAAAGGTCAGAGAGGTAAGCTAATGAGGAAGCCAGGGAATGTTGAGCAGCAGACACTGATACAGAGTGCTGGGCAAGGGCCAGAGCCTACTGGAGCATCCTGGCCCCAGGAACAGGGGACTTGAAGGCCGGCTGAGAGCTGCCCAGCCTGTTGCATATCTTGAGTCAGCCTCTTGGAAGTGAACTGCAGCCCCTGATGTCCCTTTCTTCCCCCTCCCCCAACACCCCCCTGCCCCACACATACTGCAGAGGACACTGACCCAGGCCACTCCTACTGTGGGTAAACACAGAACTGGGCTCAGTGCTTGTCTGTGCAAGACACTTGACCACTGAGGGATCCTCAGTTTTGTGCATTTTGTGTCCTTCAATCAGTCTGTTGGAAATCTGGGACATAGAGTTAAAAAAACTTAACCTTTTCCAATTTATGTGCATACAGATATTTGGATGCCACGTTTATAATTTGTAGTCAGTTTTATTTCTTATATTTTTATTTTTATTATTATTTTTTGAGATACAGTCTCACTCTGTCACCCTGGGTAGAGTACCTTGCCATCGTAGCTCACAGCAAACTCAACCTTCTGGGCTCAAGAGATCCTCTTGCCCCTCAGCCTCTCAAGTAGCTGGGACTACTTGTGCCAGCCACAATGCCCAACTAGTTTTTCTATTTTTAGTAGAGACGGGGTCTCACTCTTGGTCAGGCTGGTCATGAAGAAGTCCATCTGCCTTGGCCTCTTGGAGTGCTAGGATTGAAATATGGAAACCCTCCAGCATGCCCTACTTACAGTCAGTTTTAAAGATAAAATTTCAGCGGTATTGTTGAGAGCCTGGTGTATATGACATTTGCTGGGGGTATGTTTTTTAATAATTATAATATTAATAGGTATTAGGCTCTCATATGTAGCTTACAGGTTTCCTGTCATGTGGGTGGGTATTTTTCCTTGCACTAGCAACCCAGGATGCCCTCGCTGAGGCATAGCTGCCGTAGGTTTTCTAACTTCTGAGGACACAAGCCCCTCTGCCTGAGAGTGTCCATGGGCTGGGGCTGGGCAGAATAGGTGCCCATTAGTGACCTAGGACCTCTGTTGTGCTGTGAGGTATGTCAGTGGAAACAGGAAGTAGTCGTTCTACTTTTTGAGGGTCTTGAAGTCTTTGACTGATGGAGCAAGGACCTTTGAGGATCTGTGTAATGCTCATATATGTAAAAACAAGGCCCAGAGGGAACATTGAGTTTGCTCAAGGCTACACAGCCAGATGGCATGAAGACAGGGCTGGGACCTCGGTTCCTTGTTTTATTCTTTTAGTACTGTGGGCCAGGGGTGGTTCCAGAGGTAAGGGTAGGTTTGGAGCCTTTGCGGCCCTGGCGTCTGTCTTGTGAAACAGAACCTTTACTGATGGTCTTCAGAGGGATGTAAGGTTCTCTGCTCTGTTTAGGTGGGCAGAGTGGGCCACTCCTTGGCCCAAGAAGTGCTGCCCAGTGCTTTTATCTAGTTCGACCCCCCAGGTCAGCAGGTAAATGTAGCTTGGGGCCTACAGCCTCTCATCCTGTCATTTGCTTTTGGTGTGAGTTTGCTTTTCTGTGCTCACCTCTGCCCTCCCTAAACTGTCCCTCCCTAAACTATCCCTCCCTTGAAACACTGTCCCAGCCCTGATGGATTTCCTCTATGCCTCGCACCTCTGTCTTGAGGACTAAAAACCCAAACACCAGCCTTAAAGCGTTGGGTGTTACCTGGTCCCAGTGCCTCTCCTGCAGAATGTGATGTGACACCTTCTAAAGAATGTTTTCATTGGTCTCTAAGGAGAACAAGATGATCAAATGTCTGATTTCTGTGGAAGTGTAGAAATATTTAATCATTGTCATTTATTCATGGCTTCACTGACTTGATAGATCTTTGAGAATCTGCTAGGTGTCTGCGCAGTGGTTGATGCTGGTGTTCAGAATAGCCTTCACTCGCTTGAGGGATCACAGTGGGTGCTGCGATCATGTCATTTGTGCTACATTTCACAGTAAGTTAGCTTATCTTTACAGATGCAGGGAGATTTTGTAGCTAGCATTTGAACATTTATTAGCCTTCCCCCTCTCCTTCTTGGCAATGCGTAATAACCTGTGATGTCTGAACCCTTCAGTATGATTTGAGTTAAAATACAGAGACCCTCCAATTAAAATACCTGTGTACTGAATGAAATGCTTTATGCAGCTTATCTGCACCCCTGAGGGTACCTAAAGTATGTACCAACTTCAAAAATTCTGAGTCACACCATGTGTGGTGGCTCATGCCTGTAATCCTAGCATTTGGGAGGTTGAGGTGGGTGGATTGCCTGAGCTCACAGGTTTAAGACTAGCCTGAGTCAGAGTGAGACAACCGCCAATCTCTAAAAAAAAAAAAAAAAAGCTGAGGGTATCGTGGCAGGTGCCTGTACTCTCAGCTACTTGGGAGACTGAGGCAAGAGGATCACTTGAACCCAAGAGTTTGAGGTTGCTGTGAGATAAGACACCACGGCACTCTACTGAGGGTGATCAAATGAGACTCTGTCTCAAAAAAAAAATTCTGAGTCACCTCTTATAGTATGAAAGTGTGTTAAGTATGGAATAGCAGTCCCTTCCTTGCCAAAAGCAAATCATTAATCAGTAGAGTTCAAATTACAGACTTTTTTTTTTCCATAGGGTGAAATATTTAGCTCTTCAGGGTTAATTTGCCTATCTTCTTGTTTTCACTTGCTCTTGGCCAAAAGGCCAAGCAGCAGTGAGACCCTTTGTTTTCTTTGTGTGGGGCCCAGTCCTCTGCTGCTGCTCTGATTGCCATCAGACCTCACGCCCACCCCGCGGGCACTAGGTGGATGAACTCTCCTCAGGTTTCCCCCACCCTCTTAGGGCTTCATTCTTTCTCACAGGTCCGTTAACTGCTGTTTACAACCCACCTGTTGTATAGCAGGCACTGTGGTAAACCCACCTCCTCCACTTTTATTTAATTCTTACTCTAACTCTGTGAGGTGGGCCTGGATGGAATAACTGAGGCGCAGAAAGTTACGTGGCTTGTCCAGAATCTTGCAACAAAGCCAAACTTCGGCACAGATCCTTCTGACCCCATCGCCAAAGCTCCTGAACACATGCCACACCTTTGCATCCTGTGACTTTGACTATTGAACATGTATCTGTCTCCCTTCCTAAGGGTGAGCTCCCTCAGGGCTGGCTCTGGGTGCTGAGCACATTAAGGACCTTCTATAAGTTGATTGCTGCGTTCAGCTGAGAGGGAAAAGAGGTTGAAACAGCTGAAGTAGGGGAAGACATAGGGGTGTGTGACTATACCTCCTTTCCACAGATAATCAAGGCTGTGCTCTGAAGCAAAACTGTAGCCTTACACTAAAACAATAATCTGCCATGGTTCCAGGGGGGACAGCATGTGTCCTGACTGGGCAGCCCTTCGACACCATGAAAGTGAAGATGCAGACATTCCCTGACCTGTACCGGGGCCTTACTGACTGCTGCTTGAAGACCTATGCCCAGGTGGGCTTTCGTGGCTTCTACAAGGGCACCAGCCCAGCGCTGATCGCCAACATTGCTGAGAACTCTGTCCTCTTCATGTGCTATGGCTTCTGCCAACAGGTGGTACGGAAGATGGTTGGATTGGACAAGCAGGCGAAGCTGAGGTGAGTCAGAGACATCAATTCTGGTGTCGTTTTGTTTAAAAGAAGCACTATTGTATCAAAATCATGATTTTGATGATATCTTATGGAGAACATTTCCTTTTTTTTTTTGTTTTTTGTTTTTTGTTTTTGTTTTTGAGATAGTCTCACTATGTTGCCCTTGGTAGAGTGCCATGGCATCACAGCTCACAGCAACCTCAAACTCTTGGGTTTAAACAATTCTCTTTCCTTAGCCTCCCAGGTGGCTGGGAATACAGGTGCCCGTCACAATGCCTGGCTGATTTTTTGTTGCAGTTATTGTTATTTTAGCTGGCCTGGGCCGGGTTCAAACCTGCCAGCCTCTGTGTATGTGGCTGGTGCTATGGGCACCCCCACATTTCCTTTTTAAAAATACCTATCTTCTTTTTGATTATGAAGTCATATATTATCATTGTATAAAACTAGGAAAACCTGTATGTATTACATGAAGGACCCTTGCCCATAATCTGCCACTGAGGACACACCGCCGTCTGGTTTGGTGTTTTTCAAGAGAATGCGTTCCACATACTGGTGGCTGTGCTCTCTCTTGTGTCTGCCAAAGTGCTGGGCCAAAACCATAGGTGCAACTCTTGATCCAAGTTTTAGCTTCCGTTTCATCAGCAAAATGCAGAGTATTAGAAGAGCTTGTTTGAGCCAAATAGATTTGAGGAGAAACTTGGGATTTTGGGGACAGAAGCATCTGAGAAGATGCAGGTGAACCCAACTTCTTATGGCTGAGTCTTCCTGAGCATCAGACTTTGGCTTATGTTTGGTTTTTCCCGTAGGTATTTATTATAGAAAGACTAAAAAGAATTGGGGAATAACTGGGATGTTTAGCCATCCCTCCTTTGAAGATTAATTTATTTTAAATCATTTATAATTATATAAGTGTCATGGTTGCAAAGGGCAGTCTCGGTTGTTTGGTAGGAATTTGATTTTTTTGTTTGTTTGTTTGTTTTGAGATGGAGTCTTACTATGTTGCCCTCAGTAGAGTGCTATGGCATCATAGCTCACAGTGACCCCAAACCCTTGGGCTTAAGCAGTTCTCTTGCCTCAGTTTCCCAAGTAGCTGGGACTACAGGTGCCTACCACAACGCCTGGCTATTTTTTGTTCTTGTTTACCTGGCCCGGGCTGGGTTCAAACCCACCACCTTTGGTGTATGTGGCTGGCGCCATAACCACTGTGCTATGGGCACCAAGCTGTTTAGTAGGAATTTGAAACCCTATTGCAACTACGAGTCCCAAATGAGTAAAGTTCCTGTGTGCAGAAATTCTTTAAAGGTGCTTAGAGGTCTCAGGATATTCCCTTTTATAGGCAAGAATTTCATTATGATGGATAGAACTTGTTATTTTTTTAAGGCTTGGGACCAGATAAGATAGCCTAAGGCAGTGTTTTTCAACCTTTTTTATCTCATGGCATTCTTGAACATATAGTTAAACTTTTCTGGCACACTAAAATTATGTTGATTAAAAAAAGGAGTAGAAGGCTGGGTGCTCACACCTGTAATCCCAGCACTCTGGGAGGTAGAGGTGGGTGGATGGCTTGAGCTCAGGAGTTTGAGATCAGCCTGAGCAAGATGAGAACCCATCTCTGCTAAAAACAGAAAAACTAGCCAGGCTTTGTGGTAGGTGCCTGTGGTTCTAGCTACTTGGGAGGCTGAGATAAGAGGATGATTTGGGCCCAAGAGGTTGAGGTTGCTGTGAGCTATGACACCAAGGCACTCTAGCCTGGGGCAATAGAGTGAAAGTCTGTCTCAAAAAAAAAAAAAAAGTAGAAAAAAATATACTTACTATGCTTTGAAATTCTTTTGGAAATATTAATTTAATAATGTTTAAAATTTTTCACAGCACACCTAAGATTTTCTTGCACCAGTGTGCTGTGGCATACCAGTTGAAAATCACTAGTGTAAAAAAGCAAAACAAAACAAAAAAAAATGGGCTGGGTGCGGTGGCTCTTGCCTATAATCCTAGCACTTTAGGAGTCCGAGGTGGGTAGATTCCTCGAGCTCATGAGTTCAAGGCCAGCCTGAGCAAAAGGGAGACCCTTGTCTCTACTGAACTTAGAAAAACTGAGGCAAGAGGATCGCTTGAGCCCAAGAGTTGGAGATTGCTATGAGCTTTGACACCGAGGCACTTTACCCAGGGCAAAAGCTTGAGACTTTGTCTCAGAAAACCCCAAAGAAACAAAAAAAAAAAAAAAAGAAAAATCACTGGCCTAAAGAGGCAGTGTAGATGGAGAGAAAGGCTGGGCACTCAGCCCACCACTTTTTGGAGCAGAAGGCAGAAGGAAGGAAGGGAGGAAAGGGAAGGGAGGAAGGAGAGACACGGCACTACACGGCACTACACGGCACTCTACTGTGGGCAACAGAGTGAGACTCTGTCTCTAAAAAAACAAAAATAAATGAATGGGACAAACAAGGGGAGTGTGGGACCCAAACAGAAGCAAAATTCTAGGTGACTCCAATTTTGTTCCCCAATAAGGGAGAGACATTGCATCTGAGGAGACCTGGAATTTAGTTCTCCTTTAGCCTCCTTAGCTAAGAACAAGATGGGGAGAGAAGATAGAGAAGCAGTGAGTAGCCACATGAGATCTGGGGGAAGAGCTGTGTCCTCTCCTCTGCGCAGAATGGCCCTCTGGCCACAGGACAGAGGCAGTGACTTCTGCCTGCACATGAGCAGAATGATTAGGAATCTGGCTGCCCTTCCCCATGTTTTTCATCTCTTAGTCCGTGAATAGAGTGAAGACAGGTAAGAGCATATTGCTTTTCGGATGAGGAACCATCCAGTACCATGCACTGCATTTCCCCACACTGTCTTCAGAACCCCGAGTTAGTGGGTGTCCTTAAGAAAAGGTCAGGAAATACTTGATGGGTCTCTTGTGAGGAATCACTCTGGGCACATTCATTTCATGTAATGTACTTGTTACTTCGCTTGTTAAAGATGCTTAGAAGTTCTGTAGTAAAGAAGACATCCTATTTAACATTTTCTAAACTAGTTTCATTTTCATCCTGAAGAACAGTGTTTTCTTGTCACCTGTTAGGGAGGTGCAGTCTTGGAGCCTGCAAAGCTCTGACACAGATGTCAGGTCTTCATAGCTGTCACTGTGATCCAATGAAGGGAGAAAGGCAGGTGTTACCTCTGCCTTACAGACGGGGAAAGGAAGGTGTAGGTGTTGACATGCCCCGTCTCATGCAGCTGAGGACTCAGACCCGTGTCTTCTGAGTGCCCCTGCCCAATCTTCTCTCCATCAGACCACAGTTGGGGCTCTAGAATACTTTGTAAGTATCTAAGTATTTTATAATATTTAGAGAGAAGATGAATCCTGAGCAGCAAAAGTAAAGAACTACTTGTGAGAGCCTGTTACGAATTTCTGCAGTTGCATTGTGAATATTTGTTCCAGTTTGAACATGACCCATGGTGGTATTCTACTGTGGCCTCTGGCTGGATGGGGTCTCACACAGTGGGGGTGTTCAGGTATCCTTTTGTGTTCCAGTTCTCATTTCAGTTATACATGTTTATACTCTACAAAGAGCCAGGGCCCCATGTACCTCATTTGGTGCCCTGGCAGATGAAAGTATTCATTATAGAAAGTCAAAGTCCGCTGCAGATCATCATTACATCTTAGATTGAATAGACTTCTACATTTATCAACTGCCACCTTTGTTCTGGCAAACTTGGCAGACTCTGGTTATTGACCCTAATTGACTGTTGCCCTTCAGCAGGTTGACAGAGAGTCTCCAGGGGAGGCCAAAGATCTGGGCTGGTTGAAAGACAGCAGAAACCATTTTAAGCTTTGGTTTTAACTCACAAGCTAGGAAGAAGTGAAGTGAGAAGGAAGGGACTGAGCAGCATCGGGCAACTTCTGTGCATCGTAAATCCACGTGCAAATACTTGTGTGTCTGGCTCCCCTCCCTTAACGATCATAGGTTTATTTCTCTAAAATCAAAAGAAAGTTTGAACTGTGAGCAGTGTCTTTCTAGGAGAGAAAGCCTCACCCTTAGCCACCTCTACTAGGAGACTAGAGTTGTAAAAGAGCTCAGCCCCTAGACATTCTCCTTGTATCTGTCTGTGGCACACAGGCTAGAGCACTAGAAAACAGGAAGCCAGACCTAAGACACATCTTCAACACTGGTGAGACTCAAGGACTATTGAATATGGTAGGTCCATTGTGCTTTTGCTCACAGTTTGAAGAAAATTTATGAGGGGTACAAAGGGTAGTTAGCTGTGGGGTTACCCAGGGGGCTTTCGGAAATCTGTGAGGATGATCTTGGCTGTGCAGGACCAGCATTTAATGGGGGGAGTGTTAGAACCAGTTCAGTCTGTCTTGCCCAATGAAGGACTGCCCCATCCCAGGTGCCATGTTCCTGTGATGACACCTTATACTGGGGCTAGAAGGGATCGTTTTTTGACTTCCAGAAACTCTCAGAGAAGTGTTTCTGATTTCCTGAGAATAGTTTCTCAGACTTTCCCTCATAATCTTGAATCCTTTGCCAGTTTCACAATCCTGCTGGTAGCTGTGGCTGGTGATTTTAAACTAAGGTGACCAGACGTCCTGCTTTTTAACAATTTGTCCTGTGTCCTGTGGCATTTTAAAAAAGTCCTGATTTTTGGAAAGAATGCACGATAAGCTAGGGAAGGGTGGGAGAATGGGAAGGGAAAATACTGTTCGGCTGCTGAAAAGGTTAATATAACTCCGTTTGGGAATGAAGAGGTTAATGTAACTTCATTTAGAAATGAAAAGGCTAATGCAAACTCCCTACTCCCTTCCTGGGCAAGGTCACCCAGGTAGAATCGGTGTCAGAAGGATACTGGCTCCCTCCCTGGCTTCTAGGCAAGGACAATTAGCTCAGAAGGAGCCAAACTGTCTGGAACAAACAAGTAGCCCCCCCCCACCCAGGGTCCCTAACCATAAACAGCTAAGCCAATAGCCTCCCCCGCCTCTGTCAATGGTGTCCCACTTTACCAAAGTTAAAATCTGGCCACCTTATTTTAAACCCATAGGAGATGAGGTGAATGCTTCCATTTTTTGTATTTGTGTGCATTTAATCCTCTGCCTATTTTAATTTCTAATTTAGCCATTTTAGGCAAAACCACTGAGCTTGCAGACCTGCACTATCCATCTTGCCTTCTGTGTTGCTGAGGTTGAGCGGGCTCCTTAGCTGAACTAGGAAATCTTTTTTGCTATTCAGCAATGTTTTGGTTAAAAATTTATTCTAGGTTTTTAATCTCTGATAGTTACATTGCACATCTGTTTGCTTTAGGTTGGATTTTGGGCAGGCAGGGATGGCCTCAGAACTTAGTTTTATTTAAAGCTTAGTAGCAGATACACTTACATATTTTTCTAGTACAGATTTGGTGTTGGGACCATGGGTAATTTTTGTCACTTTCCTTTTAGGGTTTTTTGGGAGTTCTATTTTGTATGTCACTGTCTTAGCTTCAGCAGCTATAACAAAATACTGTAGACTGGGTGGCTTAACAAACATTTCTCATAGTTCTGGAGGCTGAGAAGTCCAAGATCCAGTGTCTGTCCAGTGAGGCCTACTTCCTCATTTGCAGCAGCTGTCTTCTCACTGTGTCCTCAGGTGCCAGAGGGAGAATGAGCTCTCAGAGCTCTTAAAAGAGTGTAATTCTTTCATGAGAGCTCCATGCTCCTGACCTCTTTTTTCCCTAATCACCTCTCAAGGGTCCCATCTACTAATACTGTCACCTTGGAGGTTAGGGCTTCAACATATAAATTTTGGGGAGATAATATTCAATCCCTAGCATTGTGTCTAATAAAAAGAGTATGGGTACTGCACTCAGGCAGACCTAGGTTTGAATCCCAGCACTGCCACTTAGTATCTGTGTGACTTTGTCCACATTATGTGTCATCTCTAAGTGTTACTTCTGCATACAGGAATTGAGTTGTTGCTGTCCATCTCACAGGGTTGTAGGATCCTTAAATGAAACAGCATGTCTAAGTTCTCTCCATTTGTCGTTACATTCCTCTGTTAGGGGACGCAACATGGCCTGATTATACCATGCAGCGGTGTGTTCATAGTGCAAACTCCTCGGCTCAAGCTATTCTCTATCTTAAGCCTCCTGAAGAGCTGGCCTACAAACATGTGCCACCGTGCTGGGCTTCTTATGCTCTTTCTTTAGCAAAGAGCTCTCAGCGTGGCGACTGCTGAGGAGTGAAGATGCCAACTGGTAACTATTCTTGCGTGCTTTCAGTGATTTGCAGAATGCAGCTGCTGGTTCCTTTGCCTCTGCCTTTGCTGCGCTGGTGCTGTGTCCCACAGAGCTTGTGAAGTGCCGGCTGCAGACCATGTATGAAATGGAGACATCTGGAAAGATAACCAAAAGCCAGAAGTAAGCACTGCTCAGGCACAAACATTAGGTCTCTGTGCCCTGGTGTTTTAGGCATTTTTTCATTTCGTACTGCGAAATTAAAAATTAAAATTTTTAAATTAAATTTTAAATTGTAAATTAAAAATTAAGTGTCACATATGGAAACATATTTATCTACTCCAAAATATTGTTTCTAGGCCACTTTACCTGTCAGTCAGAGGATAGTTTTCTGAAAGGATGTTGGTGATAGTTGCACTCACCACCCACCCTGCAGAACATCTTAGGCAGATATTTAATACCCCGAAGTACAGAACCCAGGAGCTTAGCACCCTTTTTGGCCTCTTGGGTGCATAAGGCATGATATTTAACCACATTCGTAGGCACATAGCTTTTGAACTTGACCTGGGAGCTGACACTTCCATATGTTCCAATTTGGATTCTAAGATGAATACATGATACCCATTTCTAGGTTTCATATGGGTATTCAGGCGAATCACCCCAGATCCTAGTGGTAACTACCCTTTCCTCCTTGATCCTTCAAGTGTACTTGCAAGGGCCTAAGTTCTGAAATTACTCATCAAAGCCCTTGGAAGCAATAGCTGTTCCCCACTGATCTAATCTCTGTCTAGTCCTAAACAGATTCTGATTACCTGTGAAGGTGTATGGGTCATACACAATATGATTTATTTGAATTGAACAATAGTTTATCATCCTTATTGATCTCAAAAGTTGATTATTTATCTAGCTGACTGAAGTTTTGATCACGGATATTGCTGTGGCTAACTCAAAGCTTATGAATCAGCAGGGAAAAACTAGTCAGTAAATTCACCATTTTCAGTTATCAGTCACCTTCCGGGGAGAAGGAAGTTTGTAATAGTACCCTGTTTTGTGCGCCCTTGAGATTCATTACAACCAAGTTGAGTCTAATATTCATTGCCTAGAAATCCAAAAGTGTTAAGTCTTTAAAACTTTTTATTGAAGTATTATATACAATGTCATGAATACACATGCAAGTGTGCAGCTCTGTGAGTAGTCATGAAACGTATGTGCCTTTGTAACCAGTGCCCAAATTAACAATTAAGAGCATTAACAGCACCCAGAAAGCTGCCCTCATATCCCTTGGCAGTAGTGTAAGGTAATTAAAGATAGTGATAGTTATATCCAAAGGACTTAGACAGATGATACCTGGCAAGAAAGTAGATACTGGTTGACTTTCCATTTGAGGTGCAGCATTGCTAATAGAAGGCATATTTGGTACTTGAGGCTAAGATGGATTGGAAGGTAGGTCACTTTCCCTGAGCCAGATTCCTTTGATAAATGTGTAGACAGGAGAGCTGCAGGAGGGGCCTGGTTAGTGCGGAATGCCTGATGGAGTCTTCAGAAGCTCTCAGAAAGAGTTATATAAAACCTTGTGGCTTTTTTTACCTTGGAACTTCATCCTTTGTCTCGCCAAGCCCAGTGCCTTGCTCTCTGAGAACTTAGTAAGGAGAGGAAGAGTCACTACGTCGTACCAAGTATGTGATTTCTCGTCCTGTTCTTAGAGATAAGACCTGCTGTGGTACCCACCATCAAGAAGAGTCGGTAGACAAAAAGTGTCCTGCATTCCAGCTGTTAAAGGGGCAGGGCTCTGACCTGCTTAAAAGAAATTCTTCTGCATCCCCGCTGCTCTAAGAATTAAGTTCTTAGTGCTTTTTGCCTAATAGGAGCTTTAGCTAAGGTTTAGAATTTCTGTTGTCTTGCCTGTAAGTAACATTATCCTCTTTGTTCATTTCTCTGTACTAAAACAAAAAACTCTAAATACCTGAACAAATTTCCTAAAAACACATCATAAAGTTTGAAGAGATAGGAAACAAGGAAGATAAGGGACCAGGCAATACAATACCATTTTATTTTTTGCTGAGTTTATACAAGTGTAATTATAGTTTACACATACTCACTGTTGAAAAAATGGGTATTAGCTTTTACATCTTAGACAATGTGACTTCTAGAAATGTATGGATCTATTTTAATACAATTTCTTTATCAATAATTTAGGTCACAAAATTTGTTGTGACTGTCTATACTTCTGGAAGATATTTCTTTCCTTACAGAAAGATGCCTTTTATTCTTAAAATTTCTTCTGATTCCTCTCTTACAAAATCAGATGCTTCCTTCCTAGTGTTTGATGGAGTCTGTTAATTGGGTATGGGTGTTAATTGTCCTTCTTCCTTTCCAACCTGCTGTCACAGTGTCTCTCACTATGTCTCCTCCCAGTACAGTTTGGTCTGTTGTGAAGAGTATCCTTAGAAAGGATGGCCCTTTGGGCTTCTACCATGGACTCTCAAGCACTTTACTTCGAGAAGTACCAGGCTATTTCTTTTTCTTCGGTGGCTATGAACTGAGCCGGTCATTTTTTGCGTCAGGGAGATCAAAAGATGAACTAGGTAAGTGGGTTTGCATGGGCAGTAGTCAGGTATGACGCTGCTTCCCAAAGGTGTGGTTTCTGTGGATTCTGTGCTCTTTGTGCTCCTCCAAGAAGGGGTCCACCTGGCACAGTGAAGTTTTCAGATGCTGCAGAGTAACTGGTGACCGGCAATTGCCAGCACCCTTCCAGGCTTGATAATTTCCTTAGGACAGAGGCCAGAGCAGTACATCTCAAACTTTTTTACTAGAATAACATTAAATTTTCTGAATCCATTTTAGGGGAGAAGAAATACAGAGATTAGTTCCCCTGTGGGGAAATCACCTATAAATAATCTTATAATAAGCTTAAAACTTGGTAAATTTTTTTTTTAATTTCAAGTTAGTATGAGAGTACATATTATTAGGTTACATTATTTGTGTTTGTAAGGTAAAGTCAAAGTTCAAGGTCTTAGTTATATTCTTTCCTCAGGAAGTGTACCATATACTCCTATATTGTACCCATAGGTGAGAACTTACGGAGGGCCTCCTGCCCACTGAAAGCAATCTTGATAGTGCTGAGAGCAATGAAAAGTGAGATTCTAGCTTATCCTGTTGAGCTGCTTGACATGAATATGTGCAATGTTTGGCTGATGTAAGTGAATTAGTTTTTCTTAACCACACAGTCCTGCAGTGTGTCAGATCCATTATGTAGTTAGCCAAACTCTCAGACTTAACAGCTGTGCTCAGTAAGACAATTTTTCTTTCAGTGGCAAGGCAAGAAGCAGGGATGTTGGGTGTTAACATATTAAAATAAATGAGTGAGAAAGTGGGGGAAAAAAGACAGGGACTGTCTTTGACTGGCCTCTATTCTCATACCCTTTGGTAAGGTATTGCCACACTGTTGGAGGGCTGCTGGTTCTGGTGGGCCAGCCCTCAGAGGACCCCAGTACCTCACTCACCAGGCTAAATATAACACTGACTAAGGTGTCTGGTCCCAGCAAGACCCAGGTCAACCTGTGGGTCTGACAACACAAAGGAGACTGTGTATTCCTAGAGCATGGTATCAAGAGCTTTGACCATTTCCTCAGAGAATTGTGTTCCACAGCTTCAGCATTTTTATTTTTACCTACCTGCAGCCATTACTATTTGACCTCTAGATGTTCCATTAAAAGTTCTTGAGACAAAATACCATTTGCTCTGTTTTCTTTCTAGGCCCTGTTCCTTTGATGTTAAGTGGTGGAGTTGGTGGAATTTGCCTCTGGCTTGCTGTGTACCCAGTGGATTGTATCAAATCCAGAATTCAAGTTCTTTCCATGTCTGGAAAACAGGCAGGATTTATTGGAACCTTTATTAATGTTGTGAAAAATGAAGGTGAGTTTGCTAACTGCAGAAATAGAGTAGGCACTTAGCAGTGATTTCACTGTTAGCCTTGTCCAGGTTTGATCAGATGTATAATTGCTATATTTTTCCTGCCTTGTATCCATTTCTAGAACTGTGTATTCATACATCTGCGTTTGTGGGTTTGTTTGCAAACCCTTTTCTTTTAGCTTACTTGTACTTATTCCTACCCTCTGGGGAGGTACCTCTCAGGTTTCTTTGTTCTCCTCAGCTTGGAGGGAACTTTTTAAATGAGGGCTTTAAGAGAATAAATGCTTTGGCAGCACCCATAACTTAGTGGGTAGGGTGCCAGCCACATACACTGAGGCTGCTGGGTTTGAACCTGGCCCTAGCCAGCTAAAATCAACAATGACAACTGCAACAAAAAATATAGCCAGGGTGGCGCCTGTGGCTCAAAGGAGTAGGATGCCAGCCCCATATACTGGAGGTGGTGGGTTCAAACCAGACTTGGCCAAAAACTGCAAAAAAAAAAATTGAAAAAAAAACCAGATGTTGTGGTGAGTGCCTGTAGTCCCAGCTACTTGGGAGGCTGAGGCAAGAGAATTGCTTAAGCCCAAGTGTTGAAGGGTGCTGTGAGGGGTGAGACCATGGCACTCTACCGAGGACAACATAATGAGACTCTGTCTCCAAACAAACAAACAAAAAAAAAGAGTTCTCAAATCAGAAGTAGCAATTTCTGAAGATCATTTGCTGTCAGTTTTTAGGATTATATAGGAAGTTGGCTGGGTGTTATGGTTCATACCCGTAATCCGAGCACTCTGAGAAGCCAAGATGGGCAGATTGCTTGAGCTGAGTTAGAGACTAGCCTGAGCAAGAGCAAGACTCCACTCACTCTCTAAAAATAGAAAAAATTAGCTGAGCATTGTGGCAGGTTCCTGTAGTCCCAGCTACTCTGGAGGTTGAGGCAAGAAGATCACTTGGGCCCAAGACTTAGAAGTTGCTGTGAGCTAGATGATGCCATGGTACTCAATCCCAGGGTGACAGAGTGAGACTCAGTCTCAAAAAAGAATTATGCTGAAGAATAGACATTTTTTTAAAAAAATTTTTTATTACTATTTGTTATTAAATCATAACTTTGTACATTGCTGCATTTATGGGGTTCAGGGTACTGCTTCGATATACAATGTGAAATGCTTACATTGAACTAAGTAATACATCCATCACAATTATACTCATTTCTTAATAGTTTTGAAATGCACCATTGCATCATGCATATTAGGTGAGGTCCCCCCAAATTCCCTCCCTCCTCCCATATCTCCTCTCCCCTCCATACTCTCTCCCCTCTTCCCTTCTACTTTCTGGACTATAGTTATGCTTTGCCATTCATATGAGTGCATAGGTGATTATATATTGACTTCATAATAGTATTGAGTACATTAGATACTTTTTTCCATTCTTGAGATACTTTACTAAGAAAAATATGTTCCAGCTCCATCCAGGTAAACATAAAAGATGGGACATCTCCATCGTTTTTTATGGCTGCATATTATTCCATGGTGTACATATATCACAATTTGTTAATCCATTCATGGGTCGATGGCACTTGGGCTGTTTCTGTGTCTTGGCTATTATGACTGGGGCTGCAGTAAACATTCTGGTGCAGATGTGTCTTATAAAATAATTTTAGATCATCTGGGTATATAACTAGTAGATGAATTGCAGGATCGAACAGTAGGTCTACTTTTAGGTCTTTGAGTATTCTCCAAACTTCTTTCCAAAGAGGTCGTATTAGCTTGCGTTCCCACCAGCAGTGTAGAAGCATTGCCTTCTCTCCACATACACGCCAACATCTGTAGTTTTGGGATTTTGTGATATGGGCTAATCTTACTGGTGTTAGATGATATTTGAAAGTAGTTTTGATTTGCATTTGTCTGATAATTAAGGATGATGAACATTTTTTTATGTGTTTGTAGGCCATGCACCTGTCTTCATCAGAGAAGTTTCTGTTCAACTCTCTTGCCCACATAGAAATGGGGTTCTTTGTTCTTTTCTTATAGATTAGTGAGTTTTCTGTAGATTCTAGTTATCAGACCTTTGTTGCTTCAATTGCCCTGGGGGTCCTCATAAAATATTCTCCCAGGCAAATTTATTCAAGTGTTTTTCTGCACTCTCTTCTAGTAATTTTATAGTTTCATGTCTTAAGTTTAAATCTTTATCCAGTGAGAATCATTTTTTGTTAGTGGTGAAATGTGGGGGTCCAGTTTCAGTCTTCTATAGGTTGCCAAGCACCTATAGAAGTTCACCCAGCACCGTTTGTTAAATAGGGAGTCTTTCCCCCACTGAATATTTTTGGTAGGCTTGTTGAAGGTCAGATGACAATAAGTAGCTGGTTTCATCTTTTGCTTCTCTATTCTGTTCCATAAATCTATCCCCCTGTTTTGTGACAGTACCATGCCGTTTTGATCACTATAGATTTATAGTATAGCCTGAAGTCTGGTAATGTGATACCTCCTGATTTGTTCTTATTTCTGAGTACTGTATTTGCTATTAGAGGTTTTTTCTGATTCCATTACTGTTTTTTCAAGTTCTTAAAGTATGACAATGGTGTTTAATAGGAATTGTATTAAATCTTTAGATTGCTTTGGATAGTATGGACATTTTAACAATGTTGATTCTTCCTAGCCATGAGCATGGTAGGTTTTTCCATTTGGTAACATCTTCAGCTATTTCTTTTCTCAGAGTTTCATAGTTCTCTTTATAGAGATCTTTCACATCCTTTGTTAGGTAAATTCCCAGATATTTCACCTTCTTTGGCACTACTGTAAAAGGAATAGGGTCCTTGACTATATTTTCAGTTTGACTATTGTTGTCATATATAAAAGCTACTGACTTGTAAGTATTGATTTTGTATCCTGAGATTCTGCCGTATTCCTTGATCACTTCTAAGAGTTTTGAAGTTGAGTCCCTGGGATTTTCCAGGTATAGGATCATATCATCAGTGAAGAGTAAGAGTTTGAGCTCCTCTGACCCCATGTGGATACCCTTAATCACCTTCTCTTGCCTGATTGCGATGGCTAAGACTTCCATTACTATGTTGAATAGCAGTGGAGACAGTGGGCATCCTTGCCTCATTCCTGATCTGGGTGCAGATGTGTTTAATTTTATATCATTCAATATGGTATTGGCTGTAGGTTTGCTGTAGATCAGTTTAAGAAATGTCCCTTCTATGCCCATTTTCTATTTTCTTTTTTGCACTTTTTGGCCAGGGCCAGGTTTGAACCTGCCACCTCTGGTATATGGGCTGGCGCCTTACTCCTTTGAGCCATAGGTGCCACCCTATGCCTATTTTCTTAAGTGTTCTGATCACAAAAGGATGCTGGATATTATCAAAGGCTTGTTCTGCATCAATTGAGAGAATCATATGGTCTTTCTTTTTTATTTTATTGATATGATGTATTTATTGATTTGCATATGTTGAACCAACCCTGTAACCCTGGAATAAAACCAACTTGATAATGGTGTATAATTTTTTTGATGTGTTGTTAAATTGTTTGCTAAGATCTTATTGAATATTTTTGCATCAGTATTCATTAACGATATTGGTCTATAATTTTCTTTGTTGGAGCCTTTCTTGGCTTGGGTATCAGGATGATATTTGCTTCATAGAATGTGTTGGGAAGTATTCCTTCTTTTAGTATGCTTTGGAAAAGGTATAGGTATGTAGGAACTAACATAGGTATTAGTTCCTCTTGAAAGGTTTGGTAGAATTCAGATGTGAAGCCATCTGGTCCCAGACTTTTCTTTTTTGGGAGATTTTGTATTGTTGATGCTATTTCAGTGATTGATACAGGTCTATTCAAGATTTCTAATTCTTCCTGGTTGAGTCTAGGAAGGGGGCATGCTTCCAGGTATTGGTCCATTTCCTTCAGATTTTCATTTTTCTGGGAATAGAGATTTTTGTAGTAACCATTGAGGATTTTTTTGAATTTCTCAAGTGTCATTATTTCTCCTTTATTGTTTCTGATAGACAATATTAGAGATTTTAGTTTTAGTTTTCTATTTCTGGTTAGGTTGGCCAAAGGTTTATCAATTTTGTTAATCTTTTCAAAAAAACAACATTTTGTTTCATTGATGTTCTGAATGATTCTTTTGTTTTCAGTTTCATTTAATTCTGTCCTAATTTTGATTATTTCTTTCCTTCTGTTGGGTTTGGGGTTGCAATGTTCTTCCTTTTCCAGTTGCTTGAGATGATCCATTAAGTTGTTGGCTTCCTCTCTTCTGTTTTCTTGATGAAGGCTTCCAATGTTATAAATTTCTCTCTTAGGACTACCTTCACAGAATCCCACAGGTATTTTTTTTTTTTTTTTGAGACGGAGCCTCAAGCTATCCCCCCGGGTAGAGTGCCATGGCATCACACTCACAGCAACCTCCAACTCCTGGGCTCAAGCAAGTCTCCTGCCTCAGCCTCCCAAGTAGCTGGGACCACAGGCACCCACCACAATGCCCGGCCCATTATTTGGTTGCAGCCATCATTGTTGTTTGGCGGGCCCGGGCTGGGGATTCGAACCCGCCACCTTAGGTGTATGTGGCTGGCACCTTAGCCACTTGAGCCACAGGCGCTGAGCCAATCCCACAGGTATTAATAATTTGTGTCTTCATTATCATTTTGTTCCAAAAATTTGATGATTTTCTTCTTAATCTCATCTTTGACCAAGCTATCATTCAGCCTAAGATTAGTTTCCATGACTTTGTTTGAATATGAGGATTCCTGTTGCTGTTGAGTTCAACTTTTATTCCATGGTGGTCTCAGAAGATACAAGAAATAATTTCTATACTTTTAAATTTGCTGAGGTTAGACTTGTGTCCTAGGATATGATCTATTTTGGAGGATGACCTGTGGGCTGATGAAAAGAATGTATATTCAGTTTTATTAGGGTGAAATGTTCTGTAGAGTTCTCTAAAGTCCATTTGTTCTAGGGTCAGGTTTAAGTCTAACATTTCTTTGTTTAGTTTCTTCTTGGAGGGTCTATCCA